CGAGCCCAGCCTAGCCGAGCGCTCGGCCTGCATCCGCGGGATCTCCGTTATTCGGCTGACGGCCGAGCAGGATGCAGAAGAAAGGTTGCCCCGTTGCCGGAGAAGGAATCTTCTCTTTGCTAGCGAGATTTCTCTCTTTCTCTCTCTCTCTCTCCTTTTCTCTCTTTCTTCTTCTTCTCTCGCTTAACTGTAAACGGCCCCCACCTCTTTGTAATTTCATTCTCTTGGCTAGTTCGCGTCCCGCCGGATCGAAACGGGGCAAATTACGCGCAATTAGCTCGTTTCGCTCGTCAACCTTCTTCGCTCCGTTCCTCTTCCTCTTTTCCAGCGTTCGCCACGCGACACTCGACGATGTTCGCTTCGATGGATCGTTTACATCTCAACGATCACGTTCGCTCGATTAAATTCAACGTAGCAGTTTTAGCGAATGAACGCTGATATTTTCGAATCCCGGTGGTCGCGCTCTAATCACGAGGACCAGTTCTCCTGGCCGAGCGAAAGGCACGAGTTACTTTGCCCTAATAAGCACACCGTTTTCCAGTAATTCGATATACGTACGTTACGTATAATTCGAACCCTTATGTTTCTCGAGGACGAAGCTGGACAGACGTATCGATCGATCGATGGCTCTTTCGCGGTCTGCTTCGAATCGCCATGTGTCTCTTCGTCCGCAACTCTTCCTCGTATTTCTTGTCCGAGCACGACGTTTCATTTAGCCGACTTAAATGTCGACGTAATCGACGTTTCTCTGGCTATTGATCGCCTAGACGTAAATAAAATTTCTGCTGAAATCTTTATTAAAAATATCCTCTCGAGATCACGCGTGGATGATTTTTAGATCATTTTCAGTAGATCGTTACCCTCGGCTTTTTTCTCCCTACCCAATACCAGTTCATTTATCTCGATATACAAATTTGGAGACAAGGAGCGAGTCAAGAATTTCCAGTTTAAATACGTTTGCAGACATGTCTGGAATAATTATAGCCATCAAATTTACGACTCGCCTGAGAAACTATTTCTCTCACTGATTATGAAAGTAGCCCAAGTCGTGTATTTATCGTTTCGAGATGTCTAAAGTTTAGCGTTCGACACCTGAACTGAATTCTTTTCGACGACGTATCGGCCAGCTCGATGCAAAGGTTCAATATTTACTAATTTGCAAAGACGCTCGTTGTAACGCAGATAGACGCAACGCAAAGTAAATGATCAAGTAATGTGTTTCTTTTTTTTTCAGATTCTTGATTTAGGCCACTTTCATAATCACCGGCACGTTCGTCTTACCATCAACACGAATTTTTTCCTGCAAGATCGACGGTCACGGATTCGACAACTTCCTGTAACTATGTCACACATGCTCTTGACAACAAGTGTCAGATGGACGTGGATTTCAAGAATGCATTTGGCTCGGTTCGGTGTCTTTTGCTAGAAATCGTATCAGTTCGCTTTCGAGAGTAATTTCTGACCCTAGTTTCGCGATTACTTAAAATCAACGTTAATTCACTGTTATTGGCGATTAAATGTATCCGACGAATCAGAGTTCGTGGCTGTTTATTGCGAGAAATAATTGCATCTTCGGACGTGCCACCTGGCCTCTCTACTTTTTATCATTTGTCATTAACCGTCCGTCTAGTGCGTTTGAATCCGAATCGCTCCTCTGCTGGCGATCTTAAGCATTTCAAAGTTATTCTTATAACTGAGCAACCTCTTAATTGCTGCGACACTCTTGCTTTACAAGGATATTTTCATAAAGTCGCGCAATATCGTTTTGTCGACGAATTGTTCCTTAACGCACTAACGGCCGTTTATGCGACTTCATTTTTCTTAAACTTAATTGGCACTTACGCGCGAGACAAACAATTCCTGTATTTATAGTAGATAGCGTTCCATCGAAGCGAAACGATTTACAAATGCACTGGCGATTTGTGAATCTAACGATCTAGATGAAAGCGAATGGTCAGAAAGTGATTATAATCGCGAGTTCCGTAACCGTATGGAACGATCAGGAAACAAATCAATGAATCCATATGACGCGTAAGCGTACAAAAATGAATCGAGATAATACGATAGAGATTCGATAATGGATTCAATGACAGATAAAATAATGGATTAGGTTTCCCTAGAAAATTTTCTCAAAAAAGCGAATCATAATTATACGACGACTGAATGAAAAACGTGGATGGTTGGCAACGAGATCTACGCCGAAATGTGCGGCCGTCAGACTGTTAACGCGACCAGGTTCCACGTGATGCGAATCTCTAGAAATACAAATTTTCTTTCGTATCCGTACTAGTTATCGAATTGTCCTCTGTCGTCCATCGACAACGTGCGTGACTTGGGGATTTTCTACGACTGTCTCTTACTAATCGCATTATCGCAAGCGTTAATAACGCAAACCGAACGCTAGGTTTCATCTTCCGCTTTTGTAGGAGTTTCTGGAATCCTTTGACTCTTGAAACTCTTTGCGACTCTTTGATGTTACCTCGTGTAGTTGACTGTGAGAATGTCATTTGGGTCTTCTGTTCAGGCCAGATACATCACGTTGATAGAGCGAGTTTCTCCGATATATGACTGTATGTATATCTGTGCGCGCGAGTGTCAAAGTCACGAGCGTAACTATAATCATGTTCTTGGTAGGTGGAAGACGTCAACGCTGAGGATAGGAGGAAGAATTGCGAGCTTATTATCCTGTTAACGATTCAGAACAGCGTTATCGACGATCCTCCGCTGTTACAGCTGGTTAATCTTAACGCGTGCTCGCGATCTTCTCGCTCGCAATCATCCTATCTTATGCGTTGACTTCTTGCGAACGGATCTGACCACGATGAAGCTTTCCCATGCCATTTCAAGAGTATGTAACTACGCCAACGATATCGCGAATAAGGCTGCTTTTTTCCCGGTTTCATTAACACGTTCAAGCAGTCCACTACGACCTTTACTTGGTGACGATTTATTCTTATTGCTCGTACGGATAGCATGTCTGCTTTTTTTATGCTGTTGCGTCTATAGCTTTGTTTCGTTTCTCGTATCTCTGCGAGTGACTTTTATCTTATGTTGCTCTGTTTTTATTACGTTATTTTATTTTATTCCGGCATTCTTCTTATTTTCGTATTCTGGATAAACTTACGCTCGCTTGTTCATTTTAATGATAACCGTAACAATAATAATAAGGCGGCTATATACGACTACGACGTAATACCTTGCCGTCGAAAGCCTTATCGTTCGCCTTTATCGCATTTGAAATAAAAGTCTAGCACGAGCCTTGTTTTCCTAGGTTTCCCCGATAGACTCGCTACTCGTAATATCATTCTCGAATCTTTCGAATGATTAATCAATTACGCGCATTTTAACAACGAATCACGCAATAGACGTCCTATATTCCGATTAACCTTCCACCGTAAACCGGATTGCCTTTGCGTCGATTTCACACGACGAGCACGTGTAACATCGCTGCTTCTTTATTTTTTCCCTCCCTCCGTTTTTTCCCCTTTCTTGCCGCCTCTCTACATCCGAGATAAATTAAAAAAAAAAAAGGAAAAATACACGAAAGAAGAAAAGAAAAACATCGATTTATCCGTCTTTATCTGGAATTTTTAACGAGCTACTCGAGACAGGTTCTGTCGGTCGTCTGTGAATTAGCCGCGAGTGGGAAGAACGAGAATAAAATATACACGCGCGTAAGCGTAATCTACGTAGAAAAGAACATCGCCGAGAGGGCTCGCCTCGAGAACGCTGCGAAGCGATAAATTTTCATAAGGCGCGTGGAATTTCTGACTTTTGAAACGATGCCGATCGAACGTATCGACGAGACGCGCCTTCTCGTATTGCGCGCTGCGATTGGCCGACGCCGTGACAAAACACCTAAACACGTTCTTTCGCATAATGACGATTTCGTTGTTGTTACGTACGATCCGACAGACGACCGTGTTGCTCTCGTATAAAAGGATGAAGCAATCGGAAAAAAGTTGTATTCGGTGATCGAGGAACGTGGCGCGATGAAAGACGAGTTTAAGGTAGACAGACTCGGGATTATCGCGTTGCTACGCTTCGTCGATTCCCTTTTCCCCGTAATTTTCTTTCTCTCTATACACACCATTTCTTTCGTTTCAGTATCTGACAGGATTCGGCAACGAATTCTCCAGCGAGGACGAACGTTGTCCCGGTGCCCTACCGATCGGTCAGAACAATCCTCAACGATGTCCGTACGGTCTGTACGCGGAACAGCTGTCCGGCACGTCGTTTACCGGTAAGTTATCTCTCCTAACCGCGTTTTATCGCGAGGACGAGTTTCAAGCGCTTAGTCCAGGCTGTCTGGCTAGGATCGTCTGTAGACGATCTACGTATATTTCTCTGCTACTTTTCCCTGTACAACGTCGCGGATCGTCCGTGGACGCGTGTCTGCTGACGATCGTCTGTATGCACCGAGCTTTAGCCTACGGCTGTGTCCTAATTGGATATCGCACAATGATAAAATCGTAAAACAAACACGACGATAAACGTACAAAGCTTGTTCTACGACTGCGTCCAAATTGGCAACGATGCGACGATTATCCGCATTGTTTGAAATCCAAAAACTAGTTTGTATCAGTCGCATCCGTGACGTCTGGAGCAAGAATGCATAGTTTCACGGAGTTATCGACTTCTGAAGCATAGGAAAGGCCCATTTTATGAGGCAAATGGGTGGGAAATTGTAGAAACTATATATTTGCGGACGAGGAACGTGGAAAAGTTGCGGTAATTCATCTCGTCTTCTGTCGCTATGGGACATCCAATTAGGATGCGGGCTTATTCCTGAGCGTTTCATATCTATGTATCGTCCCGCAGCTCCTCGCTCTCGAAACAGACGCTCGTGGTTGTATCGAATCAAGCCGTCGGTCGTCCATAAACCCTTCACACCGGTTGACAGCGCTCCTCGTCTCGACTACGGATGGGACGCTGTAAATCCAACGCCGAATCAGGTATCGATGTTCGGTCGTTCGTCATCGTTTTCTCTTTTACTGGAAACTCGAACGTTTCTATTTTCCTGTTTCAGCTACGATGGAAACCTTTCGACGTGCCGACCAGACAAGCCGCG